GATCTCAATCACCTTCTTCACCGTCTGCGAGGCAATGTAGGAGCCCGCCGTGGCCCGAGAGTCCACCGCAACAATGACTCCATGCTGGAACTGAGAGGGGCAACATGTTAGTGATGCATGCTACAGAGGAGGGAAACAGGGCAACAGAGCAGACGCTGGCTGATCAAGTTGTCCACATCTTCAAGTATTCCCCCAAAATACACTTAAATACATCACAAACCTATGTGTAAAATATATCTGTATATACTGTGACAGACATATGGCACAGTGTAACCTTCAGAGATCCCAGCAGCACCACTGATGAATGGGTTCTTTTCATATCCGTTAAGTTCGGAGCATAAACTGGGGACACTGCAGATAAGTGTCTCTTTTTTCACCATTATTTTGTACAGAATAGTCACTTGCTGTAAATGTAAATCGGTACAGTTTAAGGATCTATTAGTCAGCCCTTACAGCGGTTCTGCCTAAACAAGAGAAAAATGTGCGACTGCAACTGTCAGAGAGGCGTGATATATGGCTCAGCTCTACCAGGAAGCTGCTGGATAAGAGGAAAGACTTCTGCTCTCTCCTCCAAAATCCTCTATCAGTGAACTGACAGTCACAGAAGCAGCATAGTACTACAGTGAAGACAACAGATTTGGCCAAAGAAAGATGTCTGCTGGGAAGGTTTTCATTAAGGGATTAAGGGATAAAGATGCCGTTATTTTTATCTTTTATTTTTATCAACAAATCCCCCAAAGAGACCAAAAACAGCCACAGGAACGTGGATCAGAATTTACACTGCTTTGCTGCGTTTGACACATAGAGGAAAAAGAGCTGCAACGGATGTTTTTATTGTAATGACAAGATATGTCATCCAAACGCCCCACCATAGCTCTTTTGTGGGTTTTTAAGTGTTTTCAATCTGTGGCACAGAGACAGAGTCTGTATCAGTCTATTACACAATCTTGTTAGGAGCATCGCTTTATTCTGGGCTCTGGTGTCTTTAATGAGACTTGCAGATAATTAAAAAAGTATCCTCGGGGGAAAGTAAACCCACCTGAAAACACATTTATCAGCGTTTGAGCTTTGCCTAAACCGCTATAGTACAAATAACCAGCGTGTGTCTGGACTTTGGAGAAATCCCAATTCCTCTTTTTCATCACATTCATTAGTGCTTTCAGATCTCCTACTTCGTGCTTCGCTCTTACTAGATCAAAGGAGCTCCTCACAACTGCGTTTCTTGCTTTTGTGCATTTCAGCACACACTCATGGTGTGTTACAGTCATGACTCATCATTTTTTAAAGGTTGATGCCAATTATATTTAATACTTAACATCCTCTTCCAGCAGAATTTCATGCGTGGTTTGGCAATCACATTTAAAGAATCATGGGAATTCATGGTCCGTATTAGCTGTTAAAGCTGGTGATTTTTATTTGCTGCTGACTAAAGCTTCTTTGTGGGTAAAACCTTTTCGGGGAATACCAAAATAAAATCCTCTTTGCAACAAAAATGCTGAAATAAACGTAAAAATACGCGTAAATCAAATTGTGATTTTAAAAACAGTATGGGCTGCTCTGTTTCCGACTAGGGTTGCATGACATTGGAAAGAACTAACTGTGATATTTTGTTTCATGCACTTAAAAAAAATACAACATTTTTCACCAGATGACTGGAATAACTATGTGGCAAGAACAAATCATTACAGAATGACTCTGGTGACTTTGTAGGTGAGTGCCTCTGCATAGAAAATAAAAAAAAAATATTTAAAAAACCTGAAAGCGTGGCCTTTCTCATATAACGTAACATTGACAAAGGCATCCAAAATATTAGTTTATTTGCTTTGGGTGCCATTCAGATCTATCATGGCACTCACTGTACAAAGTTTTGTGGTGCCAATTTAAATGGTCAAACAAGACACCTCCAAGAGAGTACCAGTTTTGGGTCAACACCATCTGTTTTGTCATCAAAATATCCCCAATTAACTGACAATGTGCATCTTGTTGCACCCAAACCTTCCTTTTCACTGTTTCTGTCCTGCTTTTTGCTCAGTTTGATGCACACATGTGGAGGCTGCGTTTAAACAAACTCTGTATCTTTCACATAGATTTTTTTGTCAGTAAATTCTGTTCTATTAGACCTTTATAGGTTAATCATAAAAACTGACGACTTATCTTTTTGCATCAAGCTGCAACAGGTTGTCGGAGGATGCATTTGACTTCATTTACCTTACTTCATATTCCACTTCCGGCAATGTGACTACTCATTCACACACATCACAGCGCTGGTGTTGGAACAATATATTTTGCAGCCCTACTTCCAACCACAGATGCTTCAGAAGTCTCCCAAATATCACTGAGCACATTCCTGACACATCAACTGTTTCACAGCTTTATAGAATTCAAAACACAAATATTTTTTAAGGCTTGGGGGATATTTGTTCCCAAAACCATAATGGATAAGCATGACCAACAACTATGTAATTACACATGTATGTGCACAATACATTCACGCTGGAGAGAACAGACTCATAGGCACCTATTTTAGATGTAAAATACACAAAGAAAGCACTTGTTGCTGTTGTATACAAGTAAACTCATACTGACATAGCCTTGTACAGATACAAGCTTACGTTGTTGTGTTGGGAACTGACTGAACAGCATCAACATGAGCTTACTCACTTTGTCATTTCTCCAAATAAATCAGACAAAAGTCACATGTGAATGAATACATACACTACAGAACATATCCTGTAATTGCGGTCAAACAGAAAAGACCTGCCGACATTTACAAAACTGCTTTCTCAAACAGAAATGTCAAGAACGAGTTATCACCGGTGAATATCTGCCATGAGAAAGCGCTTTGTAGCCACGCTAGCATGCTAACATTAGCAATACGATGTTACATGAACCCTCAGACATGTTTGACAAATGATTTGGACTTCATAAAACACACATTTTGACAAACGTGCACTTAGTGGGAGTCTAATTGTGATAGCTATCGAGAATAAGCGACTAATTAACTCACTTTAAACGCTAAGGTGGTGGTTCCGTGCAGAAACTCTATTTTCCTCTCGACGCCGTCCTCGGCTCCGGCATAGAGCGGGTTTTTAACGGAAAAGCTGAGGCTGTCCCCCGGCGTGGACTCGAATCCCAGACCGCTATGTTCAGGTCCACAATCATAACCAAAGGGTTGACAAGAATCAATTGAAAAATCCGCACAATCACTGTTCAACACACTAGCAAGAGCCATCTTTGAAAGTGTCTGATGAGCAAGCACCTTCCGCCGTGGAGCAGAATGAAGGTTTATTAAACGGTGGAGGCGAAAATCACACAGCGCCCCCTGTGGCTGTGGAGGACCGCGACAAAAAGTCACCCACACAAACCGTGGAACAACTACAAAAAAAATACAAATTAAAAAAAAAAAATTTAAATAGAATAAAGGCTACATACTTACTCGGGCACTGTAAAAAGTGAAAATACAAAAATAAAATAAAAAACAATTAAGACTTATGATGGCTGACAAAAGTAAATCAGCCCTGAAGTTTGTCTGACTTTACACTATTGTTAATTTTCACTAAACTGATTTCCAAAAGTTTCAATAAGACACACTGTCTAAATTTTTTTCTTTTCTTTTTTTTTTTAAATAAGCATTAATGCATTGGGGTTCCTTGTCCAGTTCTGGACATTCTGGGATAGTATGAACATGAACACACATTACAACCAGCACTGCTCACTGCAGGCCATGCATTAAAAAAAATTCTTACTCTCTTAAAAGTTTCTTACAGTTTACATGTCATTTTTTTTCTGTAATTCTGTAAGAGATTAAATGGTCTGCACTTATATAGCGCCTTTATCCAAAGCACTTTGCAATGTATTTCTCATTCACCTATTCATACACCAGTGGTGACAGAGCTGCCTGCCAAGGTGCTGCCTGCCATTGGGAGCAACTTCGGCTTCAGTGTCTTTTCCAAGGACGCTTCAACTGTGGAGGGGCAGGGGATCGAACCGCCAACCTTACGACTGGAAGAAAACCCGCTCTACCACCTGAGCCACAGCCGCCCTTAGATTACCCATAATTTAACCACAAAAAAGGGAAAATCTGAAAAACAAAAGCATATTGTTCAAAAAATTACTGTTGCGCATTTTCACTTTTTACAGTGTGCAGCAGCCCTGTACAATATTAATTCTACATTTAGAGGAATCTGTGCAAAACCAACAGGACTTCATGTATGTATCATTGTTTTTTGTACTATTTCCTTTCATGCTGTAACACCACTGTATCTCTGCTGGGGAATAAAGGATTATTTTATCTTACCTTATTCACTTACCAATGTCACTTGCTGATTGTGTTCATTTGTACATTAATGCTGCATCATTTCTGGAGGCTTAGATGCTGACTGTATTTATATATTGTGCTCGGGAAGGTCTCGAGTATATTTATTATTGAGATTATTTACTATCTGATATTTACCTTTCCTCTGTGCTGCATTTCTAGTTTTCTACTTCATTTGTGGAATCTCTTCATTCTATTGCACGTTCATGTGAGCTGTCAGTGCAGATTTTTGGATAATGCAGTTTTGGCCCTTGAGGGTTTAGGAATTCAGACCCTAGATTTTATCCATTTTATGCAAACATTTTTTGCAGTATTTATGATTCTAACTTTCTGTAAATTGCTGAAAGCTGTTATTCAGTAAAATCATGTTTTGTAATTAACATCTTGCTGTAGTATTTGGGGAATGTTGATTAGTTGCTGAGTAGCAGCCGTTCACTATTTCAACTGGCTTGTCTTTGTATCAAACCGTTTGCCTGATAAGGGTAAAATGACACTGACACATCTCAAACAAATGTATTTTTGCCAGTTCCACAGTGTGTAGGAGTCTTTTTGAAACTTTTGGAAACGCTCTCCCCTCTCCTACACACCTATCTTGTGAAATAGATGTGTGAAGAGTTCCTCTGTCTAAATTTTGCCCTGATCCCATCATTTCCTCCCACACACACACACGAATGCTTTGCTTAATTTAGCAGCATTCAGTTTCGTCACTCTTTCTCTTTTCTCTTCTATCTTTACTCCTCCTTGCCATGTCTCTGTAATATTCCTCTTTCAGATCTTCCCTCTCTCTTTGGCTCCATCCCTGGGCTGTGATGTGGAAAAGGTCCACGTTGTTTCCTGAGTATGCGTCTCTGTGAGTGGCTCTGAACACTGCTTCTCTTGCCAAGGAGAAGGCTTCGTCTTTACTCAGGTTCCACCTCAGGCCTCCATCCAGAACCCCGTAAGCATACGGAGAACCTGAGCCCACAGAGAAGATGTCTCCCTGCAGTCGAGCTCCATCGCTGCACACATATACTAGTTTTGGGCCACTATTAGGAGATGCAGAATCTGTTACTGCAGTAACAACAGCTGAGGAGCTATCATCAGACATAAAGAATGAGGCTTCTAAATCCTTTGCGCAGTCGCCTTCTTTCTTATCCCAGCCACAGAGAGTAAGAGCCACACATACCTCAGTACCTTTAAAAGGGTGCAGCATGAGTGAGAGGAGCTTGGCTGTGCCACGTATCGAAAGGCGACGTCCATGCCTCAGTTGGTAGAGTCTGATCTCTCTAATCAGAATTCGCTCCCACAGCATGCAGTCTGCGGCGCTACCAGAAGAGGCAACAACTAAATGGGAGTGAATGGGGTTAATCTTATGAGCAGCAGGACAACAAACAAGCCCCGCAGCACTGGCACGAGTGTCTGCAGCTGCAATTACCCCACCTTGGAAGATAAAACCCAGTGTTGTTGTTCCATGAGACAAAGGGAAAGGCCTGCGGACAGTCTTGGAGTGGTTAGGAAGGCACAAATGGGCAGAGTTTGGTGAGGGTGGCATGAAAAAGTGCAATGGAATTGAACTATATTTTTCTGATGTCCTCAGTCCGCTCCACCTCAGGTTGAAATAGTCCATCATATAAATAGACGTGTCTGTATCCTCCAAAGATGAAAAAGGAAACCACTTGTGATGCCTGTCTTTAGAGCTACAGATATCTTCCAAAGCCATAACGGTATAGATGCAGGTACGGATAGATTCCCTGATCCCCAAATCAGAACCTCTTCTCTGTTAAAAGGCAAATAAAAAGTACTCCTCAAACACAGATTAAACCAGAGTCCATCCAGTGAAAGCTGATCAAACACAGTCATAAACCTCTCAAATCCTGGTTTGCAGTGTGGAACGCTGCCACCGACTTTAACTGTCTCACCTGCCTTGTACTCTGAGGTTTTACCCTTTTATAGCTCTTGCAGATATGACAGCTTGCACCAATAAGCACATGCACACACAGGCCCGTTTCCAAAAGCATTTGCACTTGTATAAGTGATATTTTAGCCTACACGCTGTGAATCTGATATCCACAGAAGCCAAATTCTGCAAACCTTACATGCTGAGTGATATCTTGCGAGTTAGAAAGTTAAACCTTTCACATCATTTTCAGTTTGTCGCGAAGAGATTAAGGCACCAGCAGCAGGATTTTAATATTTGAAAGACCTGCTTTTCACACTGTAGCGGTGTCTAAAATGTGAGAGACACAAATATATTAGGAAGACACCTGCTACAACAACAATATTATTAATAGGAGAAGTGAAAAAATTATAGTTCTTGTTACATCTGGTAATTCGTGGCTTATTCACAATATTATATTTTTTTAGTTCAGGTTTTACTTCGGCTAAGATTTTAGATAGATAGATAGATAGATAGATAGATAGATAGATAGATAGATAGATAGATAGATAGATAGATAGATAGATAGATAGATAGATAGATAGATANAGATAGATAGATAGATAGATAGATAGATAGATAGATAGATAGATAGATAGATAGATAGATAGATAGATAGATAGATAGATAGATAGATAGATAGATACTAAATCCATCCCCTTGGTGAAATTCAAGATTTTATCACCTTACAATAGAAAATAAAGGAATTACTCTTGCAAAACATTTATGTAAAAAGAAAAAATCACCATGAATCATCAGCTGTCAACGTTCATAAAGTGAAAGACTCGATATACAAGTATCGCGGTAATTTACGAGATTTGCAACCGACGTACGGCTTTAGCCATTTTGGCTCTAAAATACCTTGCTAACGAGCGATCATGCACGTCTAAATGGAGCCAAGATGGCGTCAGTTTCCTCGAAAGACTTAGCAACGAGACGGTTCCCAGTCAATCCATTCAGTCGGCAAAAATCATGGCGTCCGCCAGTACGGGGAGCAGGGTGTCCTGCGGGAGAGATTTGAATTGTGTGCCGGAGATAGCGGACACGTTGGCCGCGGTGGCCAAACTTGGGTGAGGAGAATTATTTGCTGTGCACGTTGTTTATTTTCTTTAAAGATTAAATTTGTGCTTAAGAGAAAGGGGCAGCGTCGCTAGCATAATGACAGTGCGTGATGGTTGCTAAGCTAGCCGGTGAATTATCAGCACGTGCACAATCACAACGATGCTTGACACCGGGGAAGTGTTCGCTAAACTCACTCCGGCTGTTTTATTTAGCGCGCTGTCTGGAGGATAGTTTATAAAACGAGGTTGTGTTTTTCTTCAAGTTGTTATTAAACATGTTATTTAATGTGTTTTTTCTCCTCTGGGGTTCAGGTTTGACTTCCTGTGTATGCCCCTGTTCCACCCGAGGTTCAGGAGGGAGTTTGAGTTGGAGCCCGCTAAAACCCGAGCCGGAGCCCAAACCCGCTCAGACCTGCTGCTCTGTGGAAGAGGTTAGTGTTCCTACCATCTTATCTCCTGTGTGTCAGGTGCTAGTAGTCATTAATTTAACATATACTTCCTCAAGAGGAGATAACTATTTCTCCTGGAAATAGGCCCCCTCCAGATGTGGACTCACGTCTTGTACACAAGTACCAGGACCACAGAGTAGAAATGATCTGTTTACAGTCAAAATCATGCATTTGAATGTAAACTTTAATATATAAATAAAAGTATTGGCATCATATTTGTCCAGTGAGGTCAGGGTTCAAAGATCAGACTGCAGACAGTAGAAATAGAGACGATTTCCTCAGTAGAAAGCAGCTGATGTGAAGACAGTACACACTATAGATGTTGATTATTTTGTTTGTTTATTTTATTTTTTAGAGTAACAACGATTGTCTCTGGAAGGATGTTGTGGCTGAATTTTCAAAGTGTTTATTTTTGAACTAAATAAACCAAATGAAATAGTTTTCAGCATCATCATATTAGTAAAATTTCAGAGATTAATGTCTTAAAACTGTCTAAATAGCCACATACCTACTCTCATTTATGTCTATTTTAATATTTTGCTTTCTGTATCTTTTATTGATTTTAATTAATGTAAAGAAAAAAGTTCATCTTCATATAAAAATACATGTATCTGTGTACTGATGCGACTAAAGTATCTTGTGGAATTTCAAGACTCAGTATAATAAACGGTTTTTATTTATAGATTGACTGCTTTCAGCCCTAATTTTATTTACTTCAGTGATTAGATAATTTTATACTTGGCAGTAATGTCACCACTGCAAACATTATTGCATTTAAGCAGCAAATCTGAAAACTCTGTAATAATCCACATGATACAGTCTAATAAAAGCTGTGATCCTCCAAAGCAAAACTACTTTTGGGCTTTAGATACAAAATGCTGGATTGGTTCTGAGCATGACCACATTCCTCCCAGTGTTTTCACTCCATAAACTGTGAATCTGCACACAACAGTTCAAATGCTTGCTTGTAGAAAAGCAATTAGTAGTAATAAGGTTACATCTGATCACAATTACACATCAGAAAATGAAAAGAAGTTACTGCTGCTATGCCACCTGTGTAAACGGCACACAGCCACTCTCTCCATTTGGAGACAGTATGGGTCCTGCAGCTGTGTAATGGTGCAGCTGTTTATAAATCAAACAAAGAAGGGCGACAGTTCTTCATTCAGCGCAAGGCAGAGTCTGAAAGCACATTTCAGGATTTGTTTGTGAGTTGGTCGTGCTGTGAAACCAAAGGAAACGGAGCTGAGTTCTGGCAGAGAGCGATCTGGACATCTAAAGGTGGAGCTCAGCCTAATTTAACCCCTAAGCTTCATACCAAAGGTGAAAGTGCTCATTATGCAGAATGGCACATATCAGAATAATGTATGGAATTACAGTTATTCATGCATTAATATGTGAATCACTTTAATATTGGATTGGTAAAGATGGTTTCACTGGTTTATCTCCAGGGTAGCTTGTGAATTTCCACTCAGGGAGAGTTTTAATCTCTAATGTTATATTTAAACTTATTATTTTTATGCTTTGTATTATAAACTAAAGCTGCAAAATAACTAAAGTTAGAAAAACAAATGTATGTAGTGCAGGAAAAAGTACAGTTATGCCTCCGAATTATACTGCAGTAATACTGTAAAGTGGTACAAGTAGCTCAAAGTTGTACTCATGTCCAGTATTTAAGTAAATGTACTTAGTTACCGTCCACCACAGGCTTTCAATAATACCACAGATGGATGTTTTGGTGGTTGATTATTATGACTGAAGAGTTCACTTACACGATGAAAGGGGTTTTCCTCCTGGATTCCAGATCTTCTTGTTCCACTGCTCAGATTTACTTCCTTCTCTTGTGTCATTCAAGTCAGGTTCCCATTTCTGTTCTCATGCTCGGCGTGTTATCCGTAAGTCTATGACATTTAAAATCAGGACCTTGCTATGCAGGACGTGTTGGTGCCCACGAGCACTAATTCCCAGTGTGTCACTGGGTATTGTCACAATTATAAGGTATATGGAGGCTAGGTTTTTATTCAGTTTTATTTACAACATTTAAATAGATTTTACAATGCTAAAAATAGATAAATAAATGAGTCTTTTTCGATTAAAAAAAAAAGTCAGATTACATTGGGGAGTGGTAGTAGAGTCTAGACTCTGCTCCGTCATTATTCCTGGTTAGCAGTTAGGAATTTTGCAACATTTCAAATGAGAAAATTTCATCACAATCACACAAATAATACATTTTAAAATGCATTTTCATGAACCTGACAAAGTGTAATCACAGATGTCCAAAAATCATCATCACAAATAACAGCAGTTGTATGACCTAATTCAAATGGAACTCTTAAAAATATAATTGGGTATTATTAATTAATTACTCTGTCAGCATTAACACAAAGAGTTGTCATAAGTCTTTTACCACACTTTGTTTTCAAACTATGCAGCCAGTATAACACATGAATGTTATCACTGACTGACAAGAGATGCTAACAAGTTGATTCTTTCTCCTAACTATCCATTCTGCTTTGTTTAGACTGGAATACTCTCATCGTTGGGAAGCTCTCTCCATGGATCGATGCAGATTCAGAAATCGAGACAGAACGCAGAAACTCAGAGGCTGTAAGTTCTTCACTTTGACTTTCTTTGAGGCCGATGTTGCTTTTGAAATTTCCGTGATTCTGTGACATGATGCATCCTGTCCAGTCTTTATGTTTATGTAATGTTCTTTCTGCTGTCTTCCTCTTCAGGCTTTAGCACAGGAACTGAACTTCTCAGCCTACTTGGGTCTGCCTGTGTTCATGCTCCCCCTAAAAGGCTCCCGGAATGCCAATCTTGCTCGACTGCTGCTAAACCACATCCACACTGGACACCACACCTCAAATGTAAGACGCGCAGCATTGCGGAACTCAGCACGGAAACCCATAGATCGCTTTTAGATTGCAGAGAAGCCAGACAGACACCTGAAGTTGTCACTTAACCGCTGTTGTCCTCCGTGTTGATTAGTTCTGGATACGTGTCCCACTGATGGCGTCTGAGGACATGCGGGAAGACCTGATTGAGAACGAGACGGCCACTTGTATTGATGACACGAGCGTTGATGAGAAGACCTGGAGCTGGTTAGTTTCATGCCAGTCCACTTCCTGAGCAGCTGAGTGCTGTCTGCATGCTGAAACTGTTGTCATCGATTTCCTTTATAATCGTGACTCATTTTGTTTACTTACCTCTTCTTTTCTAGGTGGCACTCATTTAGAACCCTTTGTGATTACAACAAGAGGATCTGTCTCGGTGAGGGAGCACACTGTGAAGCAACATCCAGGGGCAAAATCAGTGCACTGAGAGATAATTATGGTTCTGTCTGCCACTAAAAAAAGTTCTTTATTTTGTGTTCCTGAAGCTATTGAAATCGGAGCAGACATGCCATCGGACGCTGTGATTGATAAATGGCTGGGGGAGCCGATCAAAGCAGCCATACTTCCCACCAGCATCTTCCTAACTAATAAGAAGGGCTTCCCTGTTTTGTCAAAAGCCCACCAGAGAATAATCTTCCGTCTTTTCAAGGTATTAAATAATAATTGCGAGTTGTTCAGTTCTGCAGACATTAATCATCATCCCAATGTGGAGCTGTTGTTTTAATACAAACAATCTCTCCTTTTAGCTGGAGGCCCAGTTCATCTTCACAGGCACCAGTCGGCACACTGAGAAGGACTTCCGATCCTACTTGCAGTACCTGGAATACCTCAACCAGAACCGACCCGCACCAAACGCCTACGAGCTCTTTGCCAAGGGCTACGAAGATTACCTGCAGTCCCCTCTACAGGTGATGAAATGCTCATTTGTGTTCACATGTTTTAAGAAAAACACCTTTTTATGATGAATACTTGAGGTTTTTTTTCCCCTTTCTTCCTTCAAACAGCCCCTCATGGACAACTTGGAGTCTCAGACATATGAAGTATTTGAGAAGGATCCTATTAAATATTCACAGTACCAACAGGTAAGACCATCAGACACAACTATAGCTGCATCCTGTCAAACTCTATTAGAAAAAAAAAGTAGCATAAGTGGACCAGGCAGAGAGGACTTTGCCGATCCAGTATTCATGCCGGTACAGTGTTTGCATTAACCATGTTTCTACTGCAAGAACTTTCTCCAGGGATTAGGAGCCCATAGAGGAAGGCAGTGCATTTCCACAGCAGGGTCTAAATTAAATTCTGGAGGAGATTATTTTACCCTCCAAAAAGTCCCTGCTCAGGGGGGGTGCTTTCTGAAAGTTGAGGAAGTTTGGGGATGGGGATTGCAGTGCTTAGCTTTTCTGACTGACTGAATAATCACAGCATTTTATTTCAGCCACACCAACTTAATAAACTTATCGTTGCTCTGAAAAAGCTTGTAAAACCAGCTTCAGTGCGGTATTTTGAATTCGCTTTGCTTCTCCTGCTCGTCTCTTAACCAGCATTGCTACAGTGACCACATTTTCACAATCAGCACGGCTTCCGTCTCTTTCGTGCTCGCTGTTGTTGCAGTGTCACTTGTCCTTTGTTTTTTAATATGTTGGAGAATTAACTCGCTCTAGTCTTTGCGGTTCCTCAGACCACAGTGGAAACACAAATAACCAACAATCTAAAGGAAGGATGGAAGTGCACATACAGTCCTGATTTATACCCAGAATCCAAAATACCCACTTTTGGGACGTAGTGTGAGTCTGGAAATCTACAATATTTACAAAAGGAATTCAAGACTTAAGATCACATTGTGCCTACAACAAATATAAATGGTAGTATAGCTATTTTAGTGCTCTTACATTTGCTTGCAGTGAGCTTTAGAATAAGGACAGCACAGATTTTTCTCTTGCGTAGCTCTTCCACATAGCTGATGTGTCTGTTTTTGTATGAATCCAGGGTGAAAGAAGGTGTAAATGGTCTGTAGGAGTTTAAAGCAAAATATGTTGAAATGTGTGTTTTGCGTTTGTGTGTACAGGCTGTATATAAATGTCTGCTAGACAGAGTTCCAGAGGAGCAGAAAGACACTAATGTGCAGTGAGTATCTCGACCTAAATCTGTATATAAAGCATCACGAGTAAGAGTTGGAATTGGATAGTACTTCATACGTTGAGATTATGTCTTGCAGGCAACACACTCTTCCCATGAGAGTCTCTTCTATATAAACAGAATAACATAATTCTGATGTAGCAGCATTGCCTGAAATGTTGTGTCTTTATTGCAGAGTGTTGATGGTGTTGGGAGCAGGCAGGGGTCCGCTGGTTAATGCATCCCTGCGTGCTGCCAGACAAGCAGACAGGAAGCTGAAGGTGTATGCTGTGGAGAAAAATCCCAACGCTGTAATCACGTGAGTAGAATCCCTTCATTACGATGTGCACGTCTATATTGGAGAAGTGCATACTTCAAATTTTAATACTTGTCATTATGAATTTTACCCTCTGAATGTGGCTGGATGAGTCATTTCTCAGTGGATTTAAATGCGAGCCAAGGTGGATTTACATGATGTGTCCTTGATGTGAACAAATAATTAAATTTCATTTCACTGCTCTCTGTGGTGCACTGATGGAACCCATGAATAAAAAAATTAAACAGCCCTTTCAAAGAGACATTTATCTGTGGTCCAGATTTGCATTTAACTGCTGATACACACAAACTGAAGCTGCTGTAGGTGTACAAGACCGTCCTAAAGTTACAAGGATGCACTTTTTTTTTTTAACCTACTCTGAGTAATTAAGCATTGCCTTTAATTGTATAGCATTTTGTGGAGTGGGATGAAGTGAAGCCTGAAACTTTGAGTGCTTACGTTATTGATGTGTGTTGTTCAGACTAGAGAACTGGCGTTTTGAGGAGTGGGGTGATCAGGTGACGGTGGTGTCCTGTGACATGCGTGAATGGGCAGCGCCAGAGAAAGCAGACATCATTGTCAGCGAGCTGCTCGGATCGTTCGGTGATAATGAACTCTCCCCAGAGTGCTTAGACGGAGCACAGCACTTCCTCAAAGGTACTTCAGGTTTTTAAAAAAGAATTAATTACACATGTAGACGCTGTAGCTGCAAAGTCACTTAAGACAAAGTTCAGTGTTTCTACGTTGTTAGCTACACCGAGCAATGTAAAAAGCATTTGTTATCCTCCATTACCTTCCATGCTTCCTTGCATCTCAAATCACTTCTTCTTCTTCCCCCTTTTCTTCATCTCGCATCACCCTCAGATGATGGAGTGAGCATCCCTTGCTCCTACACGTCCTTCCTGGCTCCTCTGTCGTCCTCCAAGCTTTACAACGAAGTGCGAGGTTGCCGGGAACGTGACAAGGACCCAGAGTGCCATTTTGAGACTCCTTACGTAGTGCGCCTCCATAACTTCCACCAGTTGGCTGAGCCCAAGCCGTGCTTCACCTTCACACACCCCACAACAGGTAGAAAAACACACAACATTCACATGGTTCAGCAGTAAACCTGTACACTAAACACTTGACCATAACACGACCTTCTCCTTCTTCTTTCAGATATGAACAATAACCGGTATCAGTGCCTCAGATTCTCAGTGGGTTGTAACTCAGTGCTCCATGGGTTTGCTGGCTACTTTGAGACCACACTGTACAAAGATGTCACACTCAGTAAGTCAGCCAGCTGAAGAGAAAGTAATGTTGTGCAAAGATGAGGGTGTGAATACTCATGTTTAAATGCTGTTTGTGTTTGTGGCAGGTATAAAACCAGACACACATTCACCTGGAATGTTCTCCTGGTTCCCCATCCTCTTTCCCCTCAAGGTTAGTTACATAGTCGGTACTCAGCGACATGCTGAAGTTGTCTCAATTTCAAAATCAGCACATTAATGGTCATCTTCCCTCTTTCCAATAGCAACCCATCTCCATAACCCGGGATGATGATGTCACAGTGCGATTCTGGCGCTGCAACAACGGGAAGAAGGTTTGGTATGAATGGGCCGTGACCGAGCCCTCCTGCTCCGCCATCCACAACCCTGCAGGTCGCTCCTACACCATCGGCCTGTGAGGACGACACATCAGAACACTCGCCAACAGACATTCACTCACCCGTTTCTGTAAAACTCGCTGGAATTAAAGTGGGGGGGGCGCTCTGACACTTTTTATATACTCAGTTAAAACCTGGACTTTCTGTTTGAGCCCTTTAAGTCACTGTGGTCTGGTGGTAGCCACGTTTGAGGCAGCAAGTTAACAACCTGATAGGATGAATTTCTTTAAACTTGTGTTTCTGATAAGTCTGTTTCAGCAGACATGGACTATCACATGTACACAAAGTGTATCGTTGCTGTGAGATTGGCTCATTCAGATTAGGTCAAACAACTTCCCACTGGTTCGTCATGTTTTATTTTTTTAAATGTTTTTGTCCCTACTGTCTTGAACAGGTGTCGCAGACATACACACTCAATCCAACTGGACTTTTGCCTTATCAAATACACATTCCATACCGGTACTTGCATAGTGACGAAACACCCTTTTCCTCAACACAAGAAGAAGGTTCCACTATTCAGGTCACACACCATGTTGTTACGGGGGCTGTCTCTTCATACCTTTTATTTTGTTTCTGTATGTTTGAACCGTGTCAATAAAAACAACACTGTAATACTCTCTATATGCTGTGGACTCTGTTCGGTACCACCGTTCTCTGCAGGGTTTTAGGATGAAATTTAAATGATGGGAGAAGCTTGTGCATAGTTTTCGAATGACTGTTCATTTAAATTGAACGGCAGTGAGGAGGTGAGCAGTCTAGTAGATGTCAGCCTGAGATGATTGGTTGAACCTCAAGCGAATCTAACGCCACTTTAAATGCCACTAGCAGTATGACTGGGAGGTTTGCTGTTAAATTTCCTCTTGGTATGAATGCAAATTCATAGTTGTAAGAGCTTTATACATGTACTTCTACTACATGTACCTTCCAGATGTTTAAAAAAACAACGTGATCATCAGTTGTAAATAGGAAACAACTGTACCAATGTGACTGCATAATGCAACTGCAACAATCACTTCAGCTCTTGGATTCTACAAAAACACAGCCAACAGTCACTCCCCCCTCAGTCAGATGTAACTACCCTACTTTATACCCATCAATTCTGATCACTCAGTCTCTGTTTTACTTGAACATAACCATTACTTGGAGTCTCGGGGTGCAGGCCCATAAACACACCCTGTCTGGTCTTATCATGCTGCATGCACGCGTTCACATATATCACACAAGCTGCAATTTCCTAAGATAGACAGAACAGCCAGGGTCAAAAGAGAATGTAAATGTTGCATGTGAAATACCAGTGTGAAAAATGGCTGTGTTAAAGGATTATAATTTACAGATTGCTAGTTTTACACTGTATATTAAAGCTATGTAGACAGTATACTCATCCTTAAAATGGAGATAATGCACCGTATCATGCATTGTATTTGTGCTGCTGTACTTTCATTGTTTTTTTTTTCAGTTGGAAATTTTCAGAACCAGTTTATTTATAGGGCAACTTATGCACAGAGGTTTTTCAAAGTGCTTTACAACCAAATGTAAAATACAAAAAAGGAGCGAATAAAAAAAAATAAATGTAATTAAAATGACATTAATTACATTAATCAAACTGCACAGACAAGTGGAATAAAGTGAAACAGATTTATAGAATATATATGACAATAATTACAATTCTTTGTAGAGTGGAATAATTAAAACTAACAGAAAGGAAGATGAGATGAGAAGAGCGTAAGAGGTAAAGTGTACAATAAAATAGAAAAGAAATTGAACTGAGGTGCACACAAGTTTAATGAAAGTTTAGGTAGTTTAGACCAGACTCTATAATAGCACTGGTAATTTAAAAGCAGTGGAAAAAAGAACAGCCTTCAGCTTACTCTTTAAAAGTAGGCATTTGGGGCAAATCTAAGTTCCAATAGGAGCTGGTTCCAGCAACAAGCAGCATAATGACTAAATACCTCAAAGTGACCAGTCCCTGCAGATCTTAAAGACCTTCAGGCTTGTACTCAACAAACATATCCCTGATATATTTCAGTCCCAGACCATTCAGAGACTTACAGACATTAAGCAGGTCCATAAATTAAATTCTATATTTACCAGGGAGACAGTGCAGGGACTTAAGAATTGGAGTAATGTGTCTTCTCTTCCTGGTGGTGGTCAGTATTATAGCAGCAGCATTTTTAATGACTTACAAATGTTCACCGGTGTTATTAGGGAGGTCAGTCATTACAGTAAGTCACTCTCCAGGCAATAAACGCATTAATGAGTTTTTCTAAATCTTGCTCAGATGCAAAGTTTGTCAGTTTGGCTATGTTCTTAAGATGCCAGGAGGAGGATTTAGTGACAGCTTTGATGTGGCTGATGAAATGTAGATCCTCATCAACGATTCCACTGAGACTCTTGACCTGGGTTAGTCTTTAGTTTCATGAACTCAAGGTAAATGCTGAGCACCAACATTTCTTTTTTTTTTCTTTAGCCAAATAGAATTATTTCAGTCTTGCCTTTAGTTGTTGAAGGACTAGCTGCAAAAAATTAAAGGATGACACAAAGTTCATGATTTACTCGATCGTGACCCTGGATAGCAAAGATGCAGGAGTGAAGGTAGCTAGGCAACAACCTGCAGTCAAGCCAATAACCATCTATACGATTATCTGTAAAACCACTTTCTAATTAAATGTCCTCATTTAACCACATTCATGGTATACAATTCTTATAATTTTGTCAATGTATTTGTCACTACAAGTACTTTGTAATGTATGGATGTTGGCAGGCCAGCTGACA